TTTTTTTTTTTTTTTCCCCTGCCTTTTTGTAGAAATGGCCTTGTCTCTTACTAGGGTAGAGTCCTTTTACACATTTTCCGAACAGCTATATTTTAATTTTGAGGATGCTTATTTCGTTTCCAACCATACTTGTGCTTTGCTTCTTGATTTTATGTATTGTTGATCCCTAAAATTGATTCAACAGAAGATGAATACTTGTGCTTTGCTTCTTGATTTTATGTATTGTTGATCCCTAAAATTGATTCAACAGAAGATGACCTCTTCGAGACTGAGGTCGGGCAATTCTTCCAGTCTAGGTCAGCGTGACCAACCAAGTCGTCGTCCAGAACTTGTAAAACATAAAAGCTAACAGTGGGTGACACCGGTGTGGTGTCGACCAAGGACCCTCCGATGCTTAAGTTAGGTGGGTGTTTGCGAGCAGATTGCACAATAGATTTTGGTGCTTAGAATTGCATACCTTTGACGGAGGGTTCCTCCGTCTTTTATATCATCCCAGACCACCTAGTCCTTCTCAGAGTAGAACTCTAGAACAACCTAGCCCTCCTCAAACTAGGACTCCAGAACAACCTTGTCCTCCTCAGACTAGGAATCTATTTAGATAGGCATCTTGGTGATCTCGAAACATCATAGCTTCTCTATGACTAGGAGTCCTTTGAGTGAACACCACGTAAACTCAATTGATGTCAACCTCAGGCACACCGGGCCTAAGCCCATGGACCAATGGGTCAACAAGCCCAACTGGGTCAAGGTGGAAAAATATATGGCGATCAGGCTCGAGCCCAGCTCGACCACTAATATTGAGCTCACCCCTACCATATGGGCCTAAACTCAACTCTGTCATTGTGCTTTAGTCGAGCTTGGTTTAGATGTATTTTACCTCATAAACAGAAGTCCCCTAAGTCCCCAAACAAGAGAGTTCTGTGTGGGGAGTTGCATTTTAATAATTTGGCCGAGCAAGCAATATTAAATCATATCATAAATTTTGTAGTAACTAACATATCGGCACCATGAAGAGTCCCCAAATCTCCATAAAAAACAAGTGTGGCAAAAGGATTTGGGCAGTAGCGAAGAAAGTAATAATTTGTTGTGCAAAGGAGAAAAATAACTTGATGTGTAAATGGACTAATGTTATAGATGCCACGTATCATGATGACATTGGTGAAGGAAGCTCAATTGATGTTGACGAGTCTCGAGGTCGAATCTTCGCCAATTTGGGGCTAAGCTCAGCATGTTGTGAGGTCGGATTTCCACCAACATGAGGCTGAGCTTGGCAATTTGTGGTTGATTTTCTTACCAATCTAAGCCTAAGCTCGACAAATGTTGAGGTTAGACTCTTGCCAACCCGGGCCTCAACTCGCCAAGGACTTCTGCCAACCTGAAAGCTTGGCAATTCGAGGTTGGTCCCTTGCCAACCCGGGCATGAGCTTGGTGATTTGATGTTGGTTCCATTCCAAGCTGAGCATGAGCTTGTCGATACGAGGTTGGTTATTTGACAACCTGAGCATGAGCTTGGCAAGGTGAGGTGGGTCTCATGTCGACCTGAGCATGAGGTTGGCGATTTGATGTGGGTACCATCGCCAACCTGAGCATGAGCTTGGTGACTTGAGGTTGGACCTTTTGTCCATTAAGGTGCGATAAAAATTTGAGCTTGGACCTCTCGTCCATATGAGCTTGACAAGAATTTAGCTGGGACATTTTTCCCATATGCGCTTGACAAAATTGAGCTTGGACCTTTTGTCCATCAAGGCGTGATAAAAATTTGAGCTTGGACCTCTCGTGCATATGAGCTTGACAAGAATTTAGCTGGGACATTTTTCCCATATGCGCTTGAAAAAAAATTGAGCTTGGACCTTTCATCCATATGAGCTCGATAAAAATAGAGCTTTGACCTTTTGTCCATTAGAGCTCGCCAAAAAATGAGCTTGTACCTTTCGTCCATCAAAGCTTGACGAAAATTGAGCTTGGACCTTTTGTCCATATGAGCTCAATAAAAATGGAGCATTGACCTTTCGTCCATATGAGCTCGAGAAACAAGGAGCTTGGACCTTTCCTCCATTAGAGCTCGATATAAATTGAGCTTGGACCTTTCGTCCATCAGAGCTTGACAGAAATTGAGCTTGGACCTTTCATCCATATGAGCTTGATAAGCCTGGAGCCTGGACCTTTCTTCCATCAGAGCTGAACAAAAATTGAGATGGGCCCTTCTGTCCATTAGAGCTGGCCAAAAAATGAGCTTGTTCCTTTCGCCCATCAGAGCTCAGCGAAAATTGAGATTGGACTTTTCGTCCATATGAACTTGATAAAAATGGAGATTGGACCTTTCGTGCATATGACCTTGATACACATGGAGCTTAGACCTTTCAACCATCAGAGCTCAATATAAATTGAGCTTAGACCTTTCGTCCATTAGAGCTCTACAAAAATTGAGCTTGGACCTTCTTGGACCTTTCGTCCATAAGAGCTCGACAAAAATTAAGCTGGGACCTTTAGTCCATATAAGATCGATAAAATAGAGCTTAGACCTTTTGTCTATCAAAGCTCGGCAAAAATTGAGCTGGGACCTTAAGGCAATTTTGTTCAGGAGCAGGTCTACGGTGATTAGGAAATTCTAGCTGAATTATTGTAAGGAAGCTAGCTTCGTTATAATGAAACAGTTTTCGTTATCGGAAAAATGTTTTCATACTGTTTTTGTTTGAGCAATGGATGCCATCTTCCATTTCAGCACAATCACATTATTTGAATAATATTAAGTCTAAGTAGTTAGTTTGTGTGAAGATGAATAAAATATAAAACTCCTTTTTTGTAGTTCACAGCTGCGCAAGTTGACTGTCATAGCGTCCAAGTATACTACATATTCTATGGCCAAACTTGGTTTCCATTGGCCTCAGATCTTTTTCAAGTTTGCTTTCGTTTTGTCTTCTCGATGCGGTGCTCTGTTTTGCCTAGTAGTGCCTGCTATGTTTTGTGTTCTGCACTTTAGTTGATGTTTAATATTTTTGTATATTCTTGTCTCCTGTCATTCTGAATGAAATAAAAACAAGCAAAGATTATATAGTGCCGAAAAAAACTATCCTGGGATTAAAAGTACTCACCTTCTAATTTGATTGATTGAGCTAATTGGCTGTTACCTGCAATGTGAGGTATTTTCAGCAATTGAGTCAAAATAACTGTAGTTAAATACCGTGATCCTTCTAGAGAAGAGGATTTATCTTAGCTTCTGTTAGTCTTCTCCGTTGCAGGTTCCATTCGAAACTAACTGAAAGAAGATATATCAGTCATTCCCATGGGGAAAGGAAGCCATTCAATTCAAACATGTTTATCTCAAACTAACAAGAAAAGAAAAACAAAAAAATGTACATATACATGGGAAAAGGAAGCCATTCAATTAATTTCCAGGCGTCACTGTAGAGAGAATTTCTACACAAATGACACTTTGACGAACCAGAGCTTCATCAATTTTTCCTAGTGAAGTGCTTTATTTGTATTTCCACACTAGATTTTTTTGACAAAATATTGGGAAAAAGTGAAAGACATGGCATTTAAAATTGAAGAGACTGGAAAAATCAAAGGTCACTATCGATTGAGTATGAGGCTTTAGAGGCTAACAATGTTGGGGTTGAAGGTGTTGTCAAACTGGAATTCGTGAAGAGAAGAGGAAAATAATGTCCTTGTGATTTCATTTTTTTTCTTCTTTTCACTACCTGGAAAACAATGTCAATGGCAAGATAGTGTTGTGAAAATTGAACTAAACTTTCACTCACTCCCCTAATGATCTTGTTGTTGATGAACTTTGTGACAAACACAATGATGGATGAATCACACACTCACACACTTGCAGGAAACAACCAAGCACAAAGTGACACAAGAATTTATAAAGGTTCAGCAATTGCCTATATCCTCTTGGTGATCCCCTTGAGAAATTCACCAATGAAAGAATAAGTTACAACTTTGGTTTACAAAGAAACCCCCTTAGAACTCTATTCTCTCCCCAAGCTCTCTTTTCTCTCTCACCATTTGCTCAACACTTTGATGCACTTGTGAACACTTTCTCACCCTTGGTGTTTCCCCCCCTTTGGTGTCTAGACTTACAAGACCCCAATACTTAGATCCTTACTTGAGCTGATTGCACTCTCTTCCTCCCTTGATGGTTAAAACACCCTTGATGGAATTACCCTCACCCTTTGTGAACTTAATCACCCTTTGGAGAATAAAGACCACTCCCTTGATGAACTTAACCACACCTTTGTTGCCTTGCATCTTCTTTCTTTTTGTAGACAAGTCTTGGACTTAGGAGAGGGCTGCAATTACCCCTGCACGTTCTCACTTTCAGCCACCCACACCTAAACCATAGGTTAGGCAAGCCAAAAGCAAACCATTAATGCATGCACCCTATAGCCACCCTATCTACAAAATCCTTTGCTACAAGTCAACAAACAACATTCAATGGTGTTCCTAGCTTCTTTAGCATTTTACCAGACTTCCTAGAACCCATTAAAGACTTTGGAGGCTCTTGGAGTTAGGTAGGGAATTCAGTCTTGAGAAGACAACCTGAAAAACGCGTGGAGAAATTCAGCACAGCGCGGCGGCCGCCGGTCGCACATTCCTAGCGACCGGTCACTTTACAATCTGCTTAAAAGCGACCGGTTGCACCAACTTGGCGACCGGTTGCACCAACTTGGCAACCGGTCGCCTGCTGCGAATTCCAGTTTTTTTCAATCTGCTTCAAAACGACCAGTTGCTCCTCCCTTGCAACCGGTCGCTACCTCTGAAGCCTGCATCCTTAATGTGAGCCAAATTTCCAACAGATAGATGACAAATTGTTAACTTTATTTTCAATGGAAAACTGAGGCACAGTTCAGGGTCAACCCTAATATGAGCCCTTGAATGCTGTGTTAATATGAGCCCTTGAATGCTTTCTTCAAGATCATTGATTTCAGATTTCAATTCAAGGCCAAGTGTGTGTATGTATCTCCTCTGGGAGCAAATCATCACTTAGAATGGAGAACTTTGTATGAAGTTGCAATTGGAAGTACTCGATGGAGGACTATAGCACGTACACTGTGAAATGCGGGTTGCTCCCAAGCTCCTGATAACTGTACATGTCTAGTCAGCATATTAGCTGTAGATCACATGTATATCTCGTGGTCAATTAGGAGGTGTTAAGCAATTGTATAAAGCTCTTGTGTGTACGGTAATTGTTCATTAAGAAAATACAAACAGTAAAAGATCTCTTAGAAATCTCTGTGTTCTCTCTCTAGCTTTCTTCCTTTTTTATCTTTCTCTGCAAATATCACTTTCGTTATCATGGTATCAGAGCCCTCAGTGGCTGTCTGATCCATTCTTCTTCTGCGCATATCTCTGTTCTATTCTCTGCTTCTGTGTCTTCATCATCTTTCTTCGACGAATTTTCTTCTCAAAATCGAAAATTTTTGTTTCAAAAAACCCTAGATTTCTGCCATGGCTGCTTCTACATCATCTTCTCTCAAAATTGAACAACTCCTTGGATTGCTTACTATTCGTCTTACTGATGATAATTTTCTTAAGTGGAATTATCAAATTGAGTCGGTTCTGGAAGGTTACGACCTCTTTGGACATTTTGATGGCTCTGCTCATCCTTCGCCCAAATTTGCGATTGTTGATGAAGAGGGAGTGACATCGGAAGTCACTGCTGCGTATAAGGATTGGATGCGCACTGATAAAGCTCTTCTCAGTCTCTGATGAAGCAATTGAGTAGGTTATTGGCTGTAAGACTGCCAGGGATGCTTGGCTTAATCTCACCGATCGTTATGCGTCGGTTTCTCGTGCTAGAATTAATCATTTGAAAACTGAATTTCAGACTGTGCAAAAAGGTGGAGATTCCATCGAGAGATTTCTTCTTCGTCTCAAGCATCTGCGTGATTAGTTACATGCTACTGGTAATAAGATTTCTGATGATGACTTTGTCATTGCTGCATTAAATGGTTTACCACTTGAATACGACATAATCAAAATGATCTTGATTGCTTGTGATACACCAATCTTGTTGAAAGATCTTCGGGCTCAGTTACTGGTTTCTGAGCAAACTGCTGAGGCTCGAATTACCTCTCATTCTGCTATGTTTGTGCCTCATACATCTTCTGGCTATGGGGTTCAAGGAGCTCAAAGTGGTTCATCGTCTATCTCTATGTCTTCAGGACAAGGTTTGCTTCCTACACCTGCTTCTCATGTTGGTTATTCTGGTAATGCATCTTCTCGACCTCCTTCATTGTCTTTTGGTCCTCGCCCTGTTTCTCATAGTGGTTTTGGTCGAGGCAAGTTCAATGGTGGAAGGAATTTTAGCTCTCCAACTCGTCCAAATTTCAGAGGCATTACTCCTGATTATCGAGGCCACAACACATTTTCTGGTTCCAAGTTTGTTCTTCAATGTCAGATTTGTAATAAAAGGGGTCATACGGCTATTAACTGCTTCTATAGGCATGCCAATTCTCAATCTTCAGTTTCTACAATGCCTGAGTGCCAAATCTGTGGCAAGCGTGGACATGGTGCTTTAGATTGTCATCACAGGTCGAATTACTCATTTCAAGGTCAAGCTCCTCCTTCTTCCTTAACTGCTATGACAACACTGACTTCTTATTCTCCTGAACAAGTATGGATTGCTGATAGTGGAGCCACACATCATATGGTGGGTGATGTGTCCCAGTTGCAAAATGTGACTCCATGTGCTACTGAGGAAAATGTCACAGTTAGAAATGGGGAAGGTTTGAATATACTTCATATCGACACTTCTAATCTTTCTTGTGCCACATCTAGGCTTACAATGCCCTCTGTTTTTCATGTTCCTCAACTCAAAGCAAATCTTTTGTCAGTGCACCAACTTTGTAAGGATAACAACTGCTATATTGTGTTTGATGTCTCTGGTTTCTTAAAACATGACAAAGTCACTCATCAGGTGCTTCTCAAGGGAAAGAGTGATCATGGCTTATATCTGATCGGTTCATAATTGTATATTATTTCTTACCCTTCTAGCTTATGATTTGGTTATGTTTTTGAGTTAAACTTGTGCTTTTAATCCTTTTTGTGTTTATCTTTCAGTTAATTGAGCTTTAGGTAACAATGATGGCTTTGGAGAACATAATTCATGCAATTCAAGCATGTTAAGGCCTAATTTGGATGAATTGATGAAGAGCTTAAAGACAAATTCATTATGGCTACAGCCCCCTGCCAGTCCAGTTCCGTAGGTCATATTGCAAGCTTTGTTTCAGCAACCTACATAGCTCGGATGAGGCCACATTCTTCATGAAAGTTGCTCCAATTGGTGTGTACTATAACATATCCAAAATTCAGCCCAATTGGATAAATCTGGAGTCCGTTACCTAGCAAAACACAGAACCATGCTCAGGATGGATCTTATCAGCGCGGAAAATGAGTTAGCAATTTGTTTCGGCCTTATCTTCTTCCTCCAACCTTGGATTGGCCCAAATAATATATGGCTGGAAAGAAGACATTCTGAACTTCAATTTAGAGTGCTTAAAGTCCTAATTTAATTAAGAGAAGCCCAAGTTGTAAGCCCTTGAAGTTGCTGGTCATGCTGACCTCAGCATGTGCTGGTTGGATGCTTGGTCATGGTGAGCTAGGTATGAGCTATCATTTCTGGTTGGAAGCTTGGTCATGGTGACACTAAGATGAGCTAGGGCTGCTGGTGGGATCTATTGGTGAAGGGCATCAACCAATTCAAGATTTTCTAATACAAGTGCAGCACCCA